AGATGACCTCCGGATTTGACACTTCCGATAAAATTCCAACTGTTGTATATTATAATATACACATCATCTAACAGTTTGTGATTTATCTAATTGTTGCATTTCCACTATACATGGTCGTCAAAAAAAATGTTTATAGATTTTTTACACTGTATCATTTATGCCCCACGTAATATGTAGATGCTGAATCCAAAAAGAAACTTGTCGCCTTGGCAAAGATGCCGGAAACAGCTAACAATAGTAGAATCGAGTCTTGCAAGCCCAACCCTTGTGTCAACGGTGGTACGTGCGTCATCCGGAAAGCCACGCACACGTATCACTGCAAGTGTCACGGCAACTATACCGGTAAATATACATTTAAATAACTTCCAAAATAGCTTATAACGTCATATCATTGTTTGGAACGTTTTCACGTGTATTCATTGTTTATAATGTTTAGATAATATTATTTGAGGTAAAGTATATGAAGTGTGTACAATGCCCAATTTAAGTGGTCAAATACACAGTTGAAAAACGGGTCTTCAATGGGTATTGCACAATATCAATAGACAAAAAAATAAATAAATACCAATCCTATATTAATATCAGTTAAAAATATTACCATTTACGTATTTTATTATTGAATCTCGAAAAGAATACAATTACATGGTAAACTACAATGAGTACCTAWATGTTTTTGTCCAATATTTTCATGCTTATAGAATTTACCATTTAAAATGTGGTGTGATAAAACATATTAATTATTATTCTATTATGTTGACATACTTTTTATTTGGATCTTATTTGATTAATTACAATATAAATTGTTTAATCTAWCTATTATCAATTTTCCGTAGTATCTTGWTTTTCAGTAAACTTTTTATCATTTCTAATAGCAGATGACCATAATTTATTGAAATTAATACATCATAAACACTAATTGTATATAAGCTAAAAATATTTGTTTGATAGTATAAATTRTTATATAATATGTAATAAAAATTTCCCATAGAATTTAAAACTAAGTATATTTTTCACATAATATTGTACATAAGCTTAGAAAATATTGAATTTATAAAAATATTTTTCTGGTTGGGCCTTAGGCCACATTATATACTTACATTAATAAACTTTCAAAACTGGAAAATATTACAAAAATGCAAAAGTATTAAAAAATAAAATGATTTAACGATAACAGTATCATATTTATAGAAAAGGTTTTTTAATGGACTTCAATTAGCTTAGTTTGTACTTTWTATGTACCTACCTATTCACACATCATATGTAAAGCTTGGATTTTAAAGCATAATAATTATAAATAACAAAAAAATTATAAAATTATTTTTAAAAAGCAAAAATGAAGCATATTTATTTTTWAAAAAAGCAAAAATAAAGCACAACCAAAAATTAACACGAATTGTTTTTAAAACTGAGTAAAGAAAATTAAAAAAGAATTCTCTGYCATKTATTTGGCAAGATTTTTAGTAGTGTCTGACTTTATTGTCTGACAGAATGTTTTTATCCGTATATAGAAAACCATACAATACAACCATTTAGTCCGTACTGCGTATTCCAGATTTTCTGGTTAATTAGATTGCATTTTTTTTTTTTTATTAAACCGTAATAAACAAGATATACAAATTTGAAATTTCACAGCTATAGAATAACTGAAAAAAAGCAAAAAAACATTTATACAAAAAAAAAGTCAAAAAAATCAAAAATAAATTGGTTTATTTGGAATGAGAATGACTTGAAACAAGGTAATTGCCAGATATAAAAATTAGATTCCTATGTTATACATGTATAAAAAAAAGCATTTGCTATAAAATCCGAGCTCTAAATCCATATGTTTTATGCATGCTGACCATAGTACAGTAAATACAATTATTGTTTCAAACGCGAAATCATGTTTCTAAATTAATTTTTGTATTTTTTGAATAAATATAACTAAATACATAAATTATTTATTTAATTCAATAATTAGGTAGTTTGGATTAGGTACTTTAGAATAAAATATGTGACAGTAAATGTAAAATGTCCAAAACTAAGTTAATTTACAAAATGTGATGACGTAGGTTCTATAGATAAATCCATTGAAGGACGGAAACTTAAAATTGAAAAAGTCAAACTAAGGACAATTTGTCACTGTTCAATTGAACGCATTTAAAAACGTTTTCAAATAACTTATATATTATATAAAACTCTAACGCCATTACTGGATGTATCTTATATACAGGGACGTTCTGTTCACTTACCTACTGTGATCTGGGCTATTGCGTTTTTGGCGAATGCATTTTGGCTGGCAGCAACGGCTTTGTGTGCAAATGCCAGTATGGGTATACGGGACGATTTTGCGATGAAAAGATCAAACCGTGCGAATTAAACCCGTGCAAGGACCGAGGTGATTGTGTGTCGTTAGGCGATTCCGACTACCAGTGCAGATGTTACGCATATTGGACGGGTAAGTACTTCGTACTTAACCATAATATACGAAAAACGGGGGACGAAAAACAAACGGAAATAAATGGATGTGTATTATACATTATATAAATATTACCATATAATATAAGGGACAAGTATAAAACATGGCAACGTAAACGAGTGTAGAGTTACCTTTACGGATTTGACTCACGTCGCGTATTATATGTATTATGTATATAATATATATTGTATTGCAGGTGATCAGTGCGAGAGGAAAATGCTACACATCACGTACAAACCGTTAACGGAACGAATGCTTCAAGAACCATTTTGGCTAGGTCTWCTCACCGTGTTTGTGGTCATGGGCATACTGGGAATAATATGGTGTGCTAAACGGCACGTGCCCGAAAAAATCGAGAAAATATTGTCCGAAGAAGCCGAACGCAGTAGACACTGTGAGTACCTACGAATGGAATTTAATTATCTCGCCCACCTACTGAAGTACCAACTATATAACATATGCGTGTGCCTAATTTTTATACGCACATCTAATATACAATAAGGTAGGTAGTTAGGTAACCTATATTACATTCAATATTGTCAGTTCAATGGAAATAGTAAACATTTGTTTGTTTGTTTTGGCTGTATAAATTATATAATGTATAAAGCTACTATAGCTGGTAATATAGTACAGAATGAAAATGAAATTACGAAACACGTTATTATTATTTCAGCCGAAATTGAGTGCAATTCAAATCATGATTTACTTTTTACGTCCACATATTAACTTGATAAATGTTATCTGCAAGTTCTAAAGTTTTTAATTTATGGCAATGGTATAGAAATAATATGTCTTCCGAAACTATATGAAAAAAAAAACTTTTAATTAAAAAAAAATACTTTTCTAAGCAAAACTTTTAGACTAACGCTGTATAGTTTTTGAAAATAATTGTATGTTCACTAATATATTTCAATATACTTGATCGTATCCCGTTAGTTATTTAAAGCGATTAATTTAAAATGATCAAGTTTGAACTGTCTGATAGTTTTTGGGAGGTGATCTATTTATAATGAAAAATACAGCTATAACTGATTTACRACGAAATATTACATTCGTTGAACATTATTATAATATAATCAGATAGCAGATGAGCCGTAAGAACTTCTCATTTTAGATTAATAAATAAAAAACATAACCTAGTAATAATAATTAATAAATAAAAATATTTTTTTTGCATCTATTTCGCGGTTAATTCTATAYCAAAACTATGAATTTCTAAATATTATATTACCCTAAGTCTAAAACAGTTTACAATGTGCGTTAACTTTTCTGAACAAACTGATGGTAAAACACAATTTTTCTAAAACGATTTATTGTGAACGGTTTTATGTTACATTGAAAACCCTACCTACTATAACAGTAGAGTTTTAATAGAATTCCTCCAAATCCTTACATAGGCGCCTAACTTCCAATCAAAATCCAGTAATTCTGATAAATTTTGTGTCGAAATGTCGATCGCAGATATAGTACACAATTTCCTTTATATCATTAACCACAATGTCTTCCTTGAAATCACTTCAATGTATTGTTCATAACTTACTGAGTCATTGTCTTGGGCGTTCAGAGTTTTGCGTTACCCTGGAATACATGAATTTAATCAGAAATATACGTTTTCGATACGAATGCTTTGGGTTTTATAACATGCGAATATAATATAGTTACAGTAAATGCTTCTGGGCGGATGTCGAGTGTACGGGGCGAACTGCTAGTGCCAACTGTGAAGACAAACGGAGCGACACCATCAGAAGGTGGTAACTCACCGCCGCCGCAGCCGAAAACGTTCCTCAGACGATTGGGTATACGAAAACCTTCATTAATGAGCCTCACCAGTCCGTTACAGACGGGCCGGACGGCTCGTACGTTCAGCCTAGACGATTTGCTCAGGCCACAAGTTCCGAGTAAGGTGTCGACTATATGCCCTCTCCCAAAACCCTTCACCACCTTTTTGCATAATCGCATCGCATTGCACTTTACAATGTTATAAATATTACTTCTACTTCTACATTTCTATTTCTATAATTAAATACATTCTTATATTKTATATATACACACACACACACACACATATATATATATAAATTATATATATTGGCACCTCACCTGGACTTGCTCTCTAACATTATTTATTATTATTATTATTATTACCTAGTGTTAATATATTAACGTGTACATATCAGTAATACGCCAAATTGTTTTATTTGTTTTTGTATTATGATTACTAGTACATTAACTATTAATTTATCATTATTATTATTTTAATAATACACATACGTACGTCACGACTCACAACACTAAACGTATTTTAGCTAATATATATTTTATTTAACCTAAACATAGCACGTCGTAAATTTAATGTAAATATATTTCATAATACATATTATATTATTATGATGACTTAAGCGGAGCTTTTATAGATACCTATTGTTGATTAACAACAATCCTTAAATTTTAGGATTCAATCAATATCGTGCCAAGCAAAAAAGCGCATCACCATCAAAATTTCGTACCACTATAGCCGATAAATCGGAAATACTTCAACAGCTCATATCACCTGGGCTTGAACGACAAGCCAGTTTCAACGACGAAATCAATCTAGTGGACAAGTTATCGACCAATAATATCGGACCTAACGATATTCTCCTACCGCAGTCGAACATTTCTCAAGAAACGAGTTTTTCAAACGACTGTTCTATAGGTAATGTACACTACTCTTTTTTAGTATACTCGTGGCTTATGATAAAATGAACTAAATGTTATAATTTTCAATTAAGACGAAGCTGTTCAAAAAATTGAAAAAAAAGTTACGTTTGCCAGGCTGATGAATAAATTTCAATCGGAAATGAGCTCTACGAGTTCAGAGGTAGATGCCCACTCTAAACGAAATTTAAGAAGACCATGTAACCACCAAGGAAGTGATTCTATGTCAAGTCTAGAATGTGCATTAGGTATATTATATATTTACATAGCTTTTACTAGAGTTGATAATCGAAACTTTAGAACATAATAAGTCATAGTTGATTTATTTGTATAATCGTTCAAGATATTTATGATTCTTAAATGACACGGTGATAAAATTATGAATTGATTGGTCAATATGAAACTGTGCTAGCTTTATTTAAATAATTATATCAGGAGTATTCCGTTTTTGCTATAGAAAACCGAAAACCAAATACATTATCACTAAACGAATACCAGCAACAATCGGGCCAAAAAGCCATGAGTGCAGATTCAATTTTGGCCATGTTTCGAAATTTCAACACAGCAATGGCGATGACGGAAATAAGTAATTACTTATCTGCATCCACGACACCAAGTTGCTCCAGTCTGCAAGACGAAGTAGTGGGTAGCGAAGATGAATCGTTGATGTCAAATACTGCTCATTCACCAGGTGGCGGCAAAGAATCCCCCACTCGATATCGCTACTCAAACGTGATTCAAGTGAGTCAATAAGTGACACTTAAGTACATATTTAGTATAATATGTAGTAATATTTAACGAAAATAAAAATAATATCTGTTATTAACTTCTTAATAAAAATGTTTATAGTATTAATTATAATATTAATTTAACATATTTATGATCAGTTACCAGTAGTGGACATGTTAAGTTCGCAACGAAACAATTCAAACAACCCATTGAACAGTTTGCAACACCCTCCGTCCATACTACTTGAAGTGCCCAATTACCGTATGGACTGTCTGTCACCGATTCACGAGTTACCGACACCGGCACCATCACCTTCTCCCACGCCCATCATATCAAGGAAGTCGGCATTTAGTTGTCTAAAAGACATGGAAAACTACCACCACCATCAGCAGCAGGTTTTATTTTATTTTAAACTTAAGTGCTTATACCATTTCTATGAATTTGTTTTTTTCATTTTAAAAACGGATTTTTTTTCTTTATCAAGGAACCGCCTTCCCTCAATGTGCCAACTGAACCACCAACGGGCCAAGCTGAACAACTGGCCATACCAATGCTGGTCATTCAACAACCGACACCTATCAATTCACCAAGTATGGAATTCCCCGGGTCTCCGCCACCCCATAAAGAGAAACCACTCAACCGGAAGATGTTGAAAGACATGGAGAAGCCGATATCGCTAGATCTGCCTGCACCACCGCCAGTCATTACCGTTACGTGTATGAGCGATTCAGATACGGAGTCTGTGACCACAAAAAACGGTACGGACTCGTCAAAAAACGGAGGAGGCATGTGTTACCTAAGTCCATTTTCTATGTGTTCCCGGGCCGACAGAATAGCCTCGGAGTCGAACCTCAGCTCGTCTGGGTACAGTTCGGGACCATCTCGGTGCAACTCGAACACCCGGCTGTGCCCATTGGACTGCGGCGAAGAACCAAGGCGCATATCACCGCTAATCCACACGCCCGAAATCAGAGAAATGGACTCAGAAACGACGTTCTCCGAAAACGACGACGAGGGCTTTGACACAGAAACAGCCGACTCAAAGTTGGGTCATCGAACTAAACACCACTACCAGAACACAGAACTTGAATCAGAAACGTTGAAGCCCGGTGTAACCACCACTGGTTTTAAGGCTTACACTTCTGGCTCGGAACCAGAAACGCTTGGTCGTCACCTACAGCAGCAGCCAGTGCCATCAATCACTGTTCAGCAGTATCCGTCTACACTGCACCTGTCCACGGATATGCTGTACGAGAAGAGCCCGGTGAGTTCAAGGAGTGAAAGTCCGCTTAGTGACAAGACAGTGTTTAGGTTCTCGCCCATGTTCTACGGCCGCATAACCGACTCGGACAGTATATACGACTTTACGAGTTCGGATTGCGCGATGAAGAAGCGAACGGGCAAGAAGAAAGAGCGAAAGAGGAGGCACTTTGGCAGTGGTGGTGGGCTATTTGGGGGACCCACATGCACAACTCCATCGGATACGTCAGCGTGCAATAACAGCGTTTTGCTGTTAGACGTACCCGGCAGGAACGACAGGAAAAAGTCTCGATCCAAACCAAATACTAGGAGACGATCTCGATCTCAGCAGACGATAGTACCGAGCTCTTCGTCATCTACCGACAGCCTAAACGACACCGCAAAGTGAGCTAACACAGAATGAATAGTTACAATTAAATTAATACTAAATATAGAATCTTTTATTATAATATATAAATTATATCATTTAATACAAACATACCGTATTGTTTTTTAAAATATTTTTTTTATTAGATAGTTATACCGATACTTTATAACAGCCGTATTCTGTATTATAATAATTTTTTTTTTTTAATTATCTTCAATAGTGACAGTTCTTTTTAAGTTTAATAGTTGACATTCCAATTTATCATATGAAATAATTACTAGGCGTGCTAAAAAAAAAAATTAGAAAAAAAGACAAATCCAGAGATACATTTAAAAATTATTAGGTTGTGGTATTTTATAACTGAGTTTTAATATAACATTATAGATTACGTGTAATGATTATAATTTTGTGAGCAGGGTTAGTTACGGAAATAGGCACAAACGTTCCAACGATTCGGTGATGAGAAATCTTTCGTCGGAAAATTGGTCAGACCGCGGCAAGAGCGGCGAAGACAAGAAAACCGTTAAGAGAAAAACAAAGAGTAATCGCACTGAAAACCGGAGACTGAGGTAAGTAGAGATCAAACAACCGTGCAAAATCTGAAGGCACATTCTGAATAACTTATATGAATTATAAAAGATAAACCATTCAATAATAACGTATAATGTGGGTCGATTGTCGCGTACCTATAGATTTCAAAACAAGACAGTCAGTGATCAAGGGCATTACGAATCGACGCATGACGAAGAGAACGCTTCAAACTTTGCGTCATTACCATCACTGCTGTCCATTGATAACCACKGTGCAATTTCTGCAGTAGAGGCGGCCATCACGAAGAAGAAATGCCGATTCGTACCAGCGAGATATCAAAAAAGAGTTATCGCTTCCGATTAAGTCTCCCATATATAATATTTTTCGACATATGTTCTGAAAGTTTCGTACAGTGGCAGAGTGGCATGTGTACAGCTTAGGAATTCAAACTGCCGTTCAATTGTATTTCGCTTATGTTATATAGACATGTATATTATTATACAAGGTGAGTTTTGTTTAACGTTGAGATACTCATCGGTTTAAGTCAATTGTTTTGATTTTAGAGAAAAACATGTTTTCCGTAGATTTTGAAGTAATTATGTGTACAAATTATAAGAAATTAATTTCAAAAAAATAATTTATATTATTGTAAAAAAATAATTTTAAATCCTCTTAGGGATACTTCATATTCTGAAATAAAATATTTTTTTATTTTATTTTTTGGGGGAATCTATTACTGCTTAAAATTGTTTAATTAAAAGACTACCACTTCAATGTGTGATACATACCTAATGATAATATATGTGTTATCTTATATCAACAATTTTATGAAAAATATTTTCCTTTAGAATATGAAATTTAATATAATGGAAACTGTTTAAGAAATTAGAAAGAATTTAATTTTAGTGTAACACGTTCTTTAACCGTAATTCATAACAATTGACAAAGCAAATTAGTCTCTGCAACGTTAAAAAATCACTCTGTATACATAAAGGTGGTATAGACAAACTGAGACACGGTACACGAGTCTCCAATCATGATAATATTACCGAATAACCTATACAAAACTGTAGCAATAAAATATTGTTTTTGAAAAACAGTGTAGGGTATTACAATATTATACTAATATAGACTATGAAACAAAATGCCTTACTTTTTCTATCGCTTTTCGATTAGTAAAATCTGTGATATTTTAACGTTAAGTTTTACCGTTATTTTGTCAGAAAAAGGCCAATTGTTTTAAATTATATAAAATTATAATCCAATTTATTAAAATTCATGAATACACATGAATATATGTTTAATATTTATGATATTGTGTTTACTAGAGTGCCTCTAAGATTGTTGAATTGGTATAAATGTATTTATTATTACCTATTGAATACACAATACTGTATATTTAGGCTAGAAGTTCTTGCTCATTCACTCGACTGTTATTTAGGTAAATCACGCTTTACTTTTGTAATTTCTATAATATTATTAATATATGTTCTATATGAATGAATACTATGTGAGTATTTGATGTACAACTTTCTAGATTAAATATTTGGAAGAACATTATATAATAGCGTACTATGATTAAGATTAATTTTTGAAATGTTAAATGAATCTTATAGAATGTACCAATTATTCCTATTATTTAATAATCAGTTTCATAATTTTTTGAATTCTTCATTTGCTCTATTAATAATAAATACTATAAGCATTCTATTTTGTCTACTAATTATGTCAAATAAAAACAATTTCTATTTTCAATTATATTTACTCGATTATTTGTTTTTCGTTCCCCTCACAACCAAATATTTTCAATTCATTAGATGAATAAAATATGTAAATGCGTTTTTTAGTTACATATTATAGGTACTCATTTGTTTTATTTAATACAAATTACTAATTTTTACAATATGATAATAATAGTGTGTAGAACAAAAAATTTTAAAACAGCAGAATAACAATACTAGTTGATGGCCGAAGACACGGGAGAATAACTAGTTTAGATTATCTGTTCCATGAAAGTCCCAGAATGTTTTTGGCCTAGAAAAAAAACAGATATTTAAGTTGTACGATCCCCACTTGGATACATTTCAGTTATGTTGATTCCAATCGATTCTACTTACTGTAGACACTGACGCTGTAACAACGTCTTTGGCGAGCTGAGCATTACTCTCGAGCATTGTATCCAGCTTCACGCATTCCTCAACTGCTCTTCTCACGAAATTCCATGTGTCATCATATCCTTGCGATTTATCTTGCAACAAATGCAGTTCACTAGATTTGTAAATAGTGGCCAAGCCTATACGCCTTGTGTACCATCGAGTCTATATAAACACAAACAAATTAGTTACCTATTGTAACACTGACAGATGTTGCATCAAAAATATGATGAGGTAGGTTGTGTGCACCTAATTATTAATCAATTATGTTTACTGTTGAAATTGGGGTTAAAATTTCACAATAAATGTTTAATTTATAAATTAATAAAAACAAATTAAATTTGTCTACTTTTTTTCTTTTGTAGACAACTATGCAAAAGGTGTATACATTGTATTCTTGTAACGTAATTATTTGATTTTCGATTTATTTTTAATATAATTTATATTATAATTTTAAATTGATGATGCCTTATAAAAAAAAAAAACATTTTAATAATGAACACCAAATCAAAGGTATACATTCGAATTTAGTGGTATGTAATGTATCTCCCCTTCTTATAATGAATAAGTAGATCAAACGCTATACATGAATGCCTATTTTTCTTATCATAAGACATAAAAACAAAAAATTTTCATTTCGAGTATAAAATATAAAACAGTACAAACATCATAGGTTGTATTCAGTGAATTTATAAAAATTATATATATTCAGGAGGATCCATTTAAGTGAGTACACTAATTATCTCGAAAAGTATTAACTTTTTTTGAATTCTTTGTTTTTAAACATGTTTTTCTAAAACTATATAATATTTAAATTTTTTTCACACTTATATTTATTGGTGAAACCACTATCAACTTTGATTTTCAAATTGTAACATATAATAAAAATATTATTAATTAATAAAAGCATTTTTATTATGAATTTACGTGTTGACGTTTTTATTTTTTTTTGATAGGTTCGCGAGATACAGCTCCTCAAAGTATTTACAGTTTTTATTATTAATCCAATAATTTTAAAGACCAGGAGCTACCTAGTAATAAATTGGATATTGTTGAATCCATGGTAACAAAATAAATAATAAAAGATTACTATTGTACCTACTTTGAATCCTATAATTTATTAACTTATTAAATACAAGAGTTATCAATAGGGAACGGATTTGAATGCAAATTGCATTTTTTTCAGAATGTCCGAAAACAGTGGTTTCCAAGCAAAAAGTTAATTTCATACATCAAAGAATTAAAAAATGTAACTTTTATTTTGCATTTTTTGGAATTTTTAGTGCATTTTGTGGTTTTTAAGTCATTTTTTCCACATTCATTCTATAAAAAATTAAAATACCTAAATATGTATTATGTTACGAAATTACGAAATTATTGTTGACACGTGTAGACACAAAATATATACATACRAGTTACAACAGATTATTACCCACATTAAGATAAAGATAAGAGATAAGATACGATAAACTATTTATCTAAAGTTAATTAATTAACATTTTGTTGTATTGTATTTCAATATTTTTTATTAGATTTTTCATAATAATGTGTTTTTTTATAAATTTAAATACAAAATTTTGTTTTTATTGAATATAAACCCATTTTTAAAGTTTTTTAGGGCATTTTTTTAGTGCATTTTTTGATGTTAAAGCATTTTTTTAAGGCATTAAATCGTATTTTTTTAAGGCTTTTTTCTTGTTTTTTAGAGCATTTAAATCCGTTCTCTAGTTACCAATATTGTTACCTAAGCTATTAGGTCGAACGGTATCGAATTTATCAATTGCATCTCCTATAGTCTTTACAAATTAAGAAATAGTATGAATATTGCCGCATTTACTGACTATAACACCTCCTTCAACCATCAATACTTTAAGGAGTTGTATCTCGCAAACCAATCAATGAAAAATAAAAATGTTAACACGTAAATTCATGAAAAAATGGTTTTATTAATTCATGATATTTTTGTTATATCTATGTTACCATTTGAAATCAAAAGTCAAGAGTGGTTTCACCAATAAATATAAGGGTGAAAAAATGTTAATACTGTACGGTTTTAGAAAAACATAAGCCTAGAAGTTTAAAAAAAAATCCTAAAAAAAGTTAATACTTTCGAGATGATAAATGTACCCGTTTAAATGGAACACCCTGTATTTATAGAACTATACACAGTTGGGACACACGAATAGTTGTATATACGTTTATAGGTTTGGATTTTTGCCCTCAAAACACTATACGTACGTCTATGGACCGGTCACCCGCATAATAACAGATGTCGTTGACTAGAGTCATCAGGTTGGACAGAGCGTGTGGCGCGTTGGACGGTTTGGAGAGCAATGCGATCGCCTGCGGCCACTGGTTCAAATACGGCTGGAGCATCAACAGCCTGGTCTTGATGGTGTTCGTCAGGAACGCGGTCAGTTCCGCTTTGCTGTAATTAAATAATAGAGGAATAAAGTACATTTTTAACATGCACGGCCGATGATTGGAGGAGTCAGCACAACAGTACCTTTCATTGGGGCCCACCAACGTGCCGTCCCGGAGGAGTCGGGACAGTGAATCGTTGCTGGCCGAGTAAAAGTACAACGCCAACTCGGCCCCTGGGTCCTGAAAGAGACCGTGCACCGTGTCCGGATAACCGAGGTCTTCGGCACCTATATACGATCGGACAAACAAAATGACTGCAGTTAGTTTAAGTGAACGTTAAACGGAATGTGTAATAATACTAATAATTAATAACAATATATTACAATGTATATATTTATTTATTTAAAACATAATAACATTTGAACATTTTTACCAAGAACATTCTCGGTTTCGGACATTTTTGATTTTGGACATTTTTTTATAATACCTTATTTATTATGTATACATTATATTATTATTGTATATTATTTATGTGTATATTTAACATGTCTTTGGCTTTATTTGTTCCGCACTATTTACAATTGATGACATAAATCGTATTAATGCAGTAGTTGACAATCACACATAGGTGTATGCAGTAAAATATTACCAGGTCGGGTCATGTTTAACGTCATTCTATTACCACACATTTTGTCATTTTCTACGAAAAATAAAACAATTCTTACTATCTGTGATTATATCGCAACTATCAGACGCAAAGTGGACATTTGCTACCTACCAACCATAAAAATAAAATTTTAAATACATTTATTTTATTTTGATATAGGTAATTTCAAAATTTAAAATAATTATTGTTACTATAAGTATACTTCCTTGCTGAAAACTTGATTTTGGTGGTAGAGAACTTAGAATAATTTTTTTAGTGGGGAGGGAGTTTATAACACCGGCAAGCACCCCACCCTATTTTTGCCATTGAAATATGAAGGATTAGACTTTAGTCACTATTATATTAGTTTTTTTTCACAGCTGTATAGAAAAAATTTCTCTGCGATAATAATAAACCTGATAAGGTGACATTGAAGGATACTTGTTTTTTAATTCCGAGTTGCACTCGGATGCAAAAAAGCCCAACCATGCAATTATAAAATATTTTTTTTTATATTTTAGTGTTATAGAAAATGTCCTGCAAATTGCAATTATACACACAACCCATAATAAGTTTGGCGAATGAAGTGTGGGGTTTACATAGCTTGGTAGACGTGAGAGAAAGAGAGTTATCGACAAATTATGATTACCTGCGGCCACGGTATCCCTGGACCATCCGTGTAGGGAAACGTGCGGCAGAGAAGATTTTAGTATCTTAGTTTTGATATCTTTTTCGTAACGATCACCATCAGCATCATTTTCACCATTCGCGAATTGTCCGTTGCCATTGGGGTTACTGCTGCCATCGGGGTTACTGCTGCCATCGGGGTTACCGCTGCCATTGGGGTTACCGCTACCACTGCACGATCTTGAAGTCGACCCTCCACCGATGTTCGGTCGGAACGACGCTCGAAAATTATTCACCCTGGCAAAATTGCCTGTAAAGAAGGGAAAAAACTACAAAAACAAAATGCAGAAATAACGATAATATCTTTATCATCGACAGTTAGGAGGATATGGTATGGATGAGTACGATTTATGCAAACACTTTTTTTAATACATTTCTATGAACCATCGGGACTTTGATAGCCGTACAACTATAATATTAGGAATATAAATTATTTAGCCTATACTCACCCTTTTTGGGTGAAATTTGAAAAGATTTGGAAGAGACATAGACTAACCCTTTCTAAGAATCTAAGATATTGGTACTATAAGCTTATTTATCCTTCTAATTTAAAAAAAAAAATGTTGCTATAGTCCTTCTACCTATTTAAAGACAATTGAAATTATTATGTCGATAGTAATTTTTGTTCCTTGGTGAAAAAGCTTAAAATGCAATATTCAAGATCTCTTGAGCTCATTTTTACTAAAGTAGTTACAAAAAATCAAAAATACATACCTAGTTAGTCACAATTTTCAAAACAAATTAATTTTACAAAAAGTATTAGATAGTGTTTTGACGTTTACCAATAAATAATAATAGCCAATGGGTACATAAAATAGAAACCAATTGAATAATTCAACAAGAAATATAATTGTGTTAATTAATATAATTTATAGTACGTAATAATTTTTTATACAAATTTAAGTCATCGAATCTAAAACAATAATTTGAACATTTTATTAAGCTTTGTTCGATTAAAAATATTTGGAATAATTATATAAATGTATTAGTACAATCATAATTCAAAAGTAAGTACCAGCATACGAACACATTTTTGTATTTATAAAACACCAGCTTCCTCATTGACGTTTTTTCAGGCCAAAGATTTATATTTTAAATTTTTAAATAAATCTATTAAAAAAATATGTATGCCTATTTCTTATAGTTACAATACTAATATTAAATTTAACTAATAGCAGCCATTTAAACAAAAATCATTTATTTATTTTTCAACACGCGCAGCCGAAGAATTTTTTTGAAGTGAACCAAATTTATCGGCGTTGGGGTTTGACTGTGTTTCGCACCATCCGATGTTGCCAAAACCGTATCCTCCAGGTGCACACAAACGACAGACCCATTAGGTGCAATCAGGATATATCTGACTCCGTTGAAGCTATTGTGGAGGACGGTGCTTGGATTTTGTTTCAGGTGTCATCACCATAATATTTGGCATGGAAAAGTACAGTTTCGTCGGTCGACTTTCAGCGTAATACCTTACATGTCCCCGTCCAAATCCGTGGTTGAAGACATGATAATACGATACAGTTATAATATTAAATTATAATTCTTTCGTTATACAGACCGCAATAATTCTTAAAATTATTGTATGATGAAAGACAAATATTATCAACGAAGACACACTATAAAACCTATAACAATTTTATTTATTTCCATAAAGATGACTTACATTTATACACACTAAATATAAAGTTTACATTTTTAGATTACGCTTTTCAACATATTCAAATTTGACTGGACTAATGTTATGGTAGTATTAATTTGTGATAATATATCTAGCTTTTCTTTTTTTGAAAATTTTGGTTTACAATCATCTTCTATTATTTCTTCTACGCCTTTTTCATACTTTTCCACATTATCGTCTAAACGTTTTAGTTCGAAATTGTGCTGTTCATGCGAATAATCGATGGCATTTTGAATGATGTTCACAAATTGTTTAGTTGCATTTGAAAATTCTTCACCCATATTTAACTTTTCAATATCATTGACTGATAAAAAATAATAAAGTGATATTGCGCCCAAGATATGTTCTTTATTGCTTTGAAGATCGAATTTAGGTTTAACAGAAATATTACAGCATAATTGAATTATTTCTAAAAGTCGTATTCCTTGAAAATATCCAAGATCATTATTTGAGTTTAAATTTAATATAATCAGGTTTTTCATTTTAACAATAAATTGATCTTTGATACAAGACTCCAATGGTTTTGAAAATATATATTTAAGAACTACATACTGAGCATCAGAACATAATTTATCCATGAATATCATCAATGAATCAATAGAGTCCTTCCTAATATTCAGATGTTCATTATATACGGCACTATGTGCAGCTTCTAATACAAAACGTTCATGGCATTTATTTAACGAATGTAATGGAATTTCATTATTTTTAAATTTTGATAAAATTAATTTTCCAAAAGATTTTCCAAAATTATTATCATCATACACAGACATGGCTAAGTTACAACATTTGTCCAAGACATAAAACCTATTGTAAATCTTAGGTCCCCATTGCATTCCAGTTTTAAAGTATAAATAAAAAAATGAAGCAATATATAATAGCTCATTTTTTTCTTTAACTTCATCAAATTCAAACTCAAGTAAATAAAAAGGGTCATAAATTATGTTAGACAATAAGTTTAGATACTCAATTGGTTCAATGTTAGCTTTCAACACTAAAGAAGCAACTCTAGCAAAATAATATAACATTGATTGATGGAGTAGAAAATGTTTTTTTAATTTTATTAAAATTTGTATTATGGTTGGCAAAATGTCTTTCAAATTGTTGATGTCCATTTCAAATAAACGATTAAAAGTACCAACCAATAAATATTCTAAGGACGCTCGAATTGKATTTTTGGTATTCTCCAAAACAGTTACTATAATTAGAACAGAATTTGATAATTTACAATCATCCATTTCAATTATATCTAAAAAATCAAAAATTAGCTCTTGATATTCTTCATTATTTGCCAATTTTAGTAACTGTTCTTCACAAAAGTTGAAATACTCAGGTCTACTTTTAAAATATTCATTTGTTAATCCCATTCCAAGTAATTCTATGACATTCCCAGAATGGTTTATATCATAGCTGAAATTTGATAAAAATGCTGATGCTGCATTTATGTTGAAATTCTTCATGCTTGACAGAAAGTCATCAAATCCTTTATCGGTGTCCATTTTGTATTTATAAGTAAAAAACTTAACACGTCACGACACATCTATAAGAAAGAAATTATAACAATAATCAATATTACCCAGGGATATTACCTCAATAGATTTTATACTATAAATATGTGGAACTTTATTTAAGATTAATCACAACAATTTAATGTTCTTGATTTTTCTAAATACATAACATTTTTAAAGATCTTTTTTTTTTCCTGGGAGTAGTTTACTTTATCATCTGAATCAACTTCTTTATTATATTAACCTAATCTAAATTTAAAACATGAGTTAGTTATATAAAATAAAATAAAAGATATCTTACAAGATATCTAATATACTAGACAAGGCTAATTAGTTACAAACACTAAATAATATGTTCAACCATTTTGTATTTTTGAGGGACCTTTTAATACATTACTAACACAATAATATAATTGAAGTCCAGTACTTATTCTCAAAATGTACATGATTTTTAATATTAAATTAAAGATAGGTTTGTTGATGAAAAAAATACAGTTATACATATAATAGGTTATATATTAATATTTTTTTATTGATTTTATACAACATCAATAGCAGAGATCATAATTTACGAGTTTTTTTTATTAGGTAAATACATAAGATTATACTGACTGGTATAAAAGTAAAGGTAAAAAGCAAAATTAATTTTTGTTATTCAGTACAGAATTTAAAACTAGAAATACCTAAACAATGTTTTTAAGCATGCCTTAATTTGTATGTTAATTTAGAAAATATCTGCAAATTACTGATTGAAAAAGAAAAGCAAATTTTACCAGTCATCTGTATCAAAATTGAAAAAAAAAATTAATAGTAACAATAAGGGACAAGCACCATGTATTTTCTAGTTAGCCTGCACAACTTTTAGGAGAGTCGAGAATACCCCCTTCCCATAAAAAGACACTTAATACCTACTTTTGGGTATTTCTGTTAATAAGATGTGTTGATTCTCCCAAAAAATAAAATAAAATACCTCATTATTAATTGATCAAAACACTTGAGCGATCAAGTTTATACTGTAGTATCATTTACATCACTAGCACAGTGTTGAAAGAGGTATTTATCATGTTACTTAGTCTCTTGTCAACGCTCAGCCTTTTAGTCTTTTATTAGTYGATACGTTATATAAGTATAGTGTCATATTGTTTCTGAAAATATTTGGGAATTTTTAGTAAGAATTTAAATTTTTCATCTTCCTTTATTCAATTAATATGAACTTCAAACATTAAATAATTTTAATTTAAAAATTGAAAATTTTGAACATAAATCTATCTAACACATAAAGGTTTCATACCTATTTACCTGATAAGTTAAAAATATTGACCATTTTTGATAAGGCAAGCAGTAGGTATGAAAGTTTTAGGTATTTAGAAACCTATAATATGCTTGTCTAATAAATAACGATAAAATATTAGAATACCTAATATAAGAATCGTATCTACCAACTTTATAATCAATCCTTGAAAAATCTAAATGTTAATATCTACACGAAACGGTGGAACTGATTTACTACCTATTCTTATTTAAACTAAACTATGTTAAGTGTACTTATGTTCATAGTTCTAAATGTATGCTTTCTACGCCGTTGAATAATGTTAAAAAACTATATGTTTGTTAAAACGGTCAAACAAGTGAAAATATTGACAGATTACCTACAGAATCACTTCAATATGCTTGCATTAATTTCAATGAATTAAAACATCATAAAATATCATTCAGCAGATTTAAGTCAGTTGATTCTTATCTGGATATGAAAACAAAAACGATAAAAAGATATAGATTGTTAAAATCAAAATAGGAAATTATTTACCCAAATCACTTTGGCTACATTTGCGCATTGATTAAAAGGTTTGAAACGAAACAATTAGTAACAACCAACGTGCATTATTACGTTTTGAATCGTCAGACAAACATTATATAATTAGACACTTACCTGTTTTTGAGAGAACTCTGCAAAACATGTCCGTATAAACACACGCCTGGTCGATATTTGCTGATATTCTGTATATTGATTTTGGACTTTCGGTCGTCGAATGAAATAGGCAGAAGATAGAAATATCGAATACTAGAAWAATAGTGTGTAAACAATTTGTATCTAAAACTGATTATAACTAAAAGTATTCAACTTTCACGAGCCGATCATCAAAAATACATAAACAATTATTGCAAAAGAGATAAGTGATAACATCACTGCAAGAATGTATGATAACATTGATTACCGCGTACTATGATAACGGCACAGCAGAATAGATAACCACCGCGGCGCCACGAATGGATCTTCGCAGGAAAAAATGTTTTGTGTCCGTATTATAATGTTGCCTACATTTTAGCCAAGGTTTATAGATTATAGAGGTTGCCTCATAATCATGTAAACAAAGCAATCCCCCGCAGCGCCTTATTACACATGACGTCATCCGTAGGAGAGTTTCGCGGGCGGCTATGGTTTCGTATGTTAACATGCTTACATGCACAATGCTTAATATTCATATTTACAGCCATACTTGACTGCTAAATGCTAATTAATGTGAATTTGTGTTTGACATATGTTTATTATTATGTTATTATCAGGGTTCGGGACTTATAGCACTTGAAATCTTTAAAATAAGCGCTTAAAAACATCATTATAAGCACTCAAATAAGCAT